GCAGGAATTTTTTAATCATTGATGATGAAATGCAAAATGGTACTGACACTTTGTAGTCTGGCAACTCTTTCAAGGCTAAAAAGTCTCATTCAATTCAGCAATTGTTGAATTGAAATGAGTTGAAAACTTCCATCTGCACAAAACCCTGCACGTTAGTGTTTGCAGCAGCTATATATATAATTGCTCCAAACTAGAAGTCACCAAAATGTCCTTCAATAGGTGAATAGATAAACGGTGGTCCATTCATACAACGGAACATTATTCAGCAATAAAGAAAAATGGGTTATCAAGCTATAGATACTCTGAAAGAGACAAAACTGCTGAGGAAAGGTCAGTGGTTGCCAGGGGTTTGGCAGGATAAGTAGATAGATGAATAGATGGAGCACAGGAGATTTTTAGGGTAGTGTAACTACAGGATATAACGTGACAATGGTAGATACATAACGTTTCTATTTGTCAAAACCCATAGAACTGTACAACACAAGAATGAACCCTAATATAAACTATGAAATTTAATTAATAATAATGTATCAATATTGGCTTAGCAATTTAAACAATTGTACCGTACTAATGCAAGATGTTAATAATACAGCAAACTTTGGGTGGTAAAGGATATATGGGAGGTCTCTATATTTTCTACTACGTTTTTCTGTCCCCCTAAATAAAGTCTATTAACAAACAAATTAAAAATAAAGACAGAGGATTATCTTGAAAAGACTTTGAAGGAAGAAAAAGAGACTGATCACAGAATACTTGGTAGGCAGGGCTGAATTGAGAAGGTTTATGTGTGACTAGTGTGCTGGGCATTTGCTTTTCAACAATTTGAGTAGCTAACATGTAAATATTTTCTCAAAAATATTTAAAGCCATACTGTTTCTGCTGTTATAGAGTCACAAAAAAATTATACAAAATTATAAGAAATATTTTGAACATTATCTTTAAAATTCAGTATTTTGAGATTTTGAAAGTTATTAACTGTCAAGAACTATGGAGTATGAGCAGAACTTTTTTTTTGATATGTAAAGTTATTGTGGAAAAATGTAAAAATTAATAAATTAATTAATTTAAAAAATTAAATTAAAAGAACTATAAAAGAGTCTTACAGACAAATAATGTATTTTCTTACTATTTGAGAGGAAGGATGAGTTAAATATTACATATAAAAAAAAAAACAAGCATTTCACAAACTAAAACGCTCCCATTTCTTTTAATTGCCAGAAGGCATATACACTTGCCAGACAGAGATGTAGAAACAGAGAAAGAGAGACAGAGAGGGACAGAACACACCCCAATGGAGCACGGTCATACTGTAATGCCGTCTCCATTTCTCCATCCTTTCGGGATTTTGGCACACAAGCACATGTTCCTGGCATGTTTTCCAAGCTGCTAGGGTAAGGATTCGAACTGCGGTCAGCCACGTGAGATCCAGTTCCCTTAACCATTGAGCTACAGGGCTGAGCCAAAAAATGCTCCCATTTCTTTGCAGAATTATTATTGAGTAGTTGAAAAAGTCATAATGCATTTTTGCACAGAAAAATATGTCATGACCTTCCTGATGAACCAATAATAATGGTGAGGGAAATATTACCCCTAAATATTTTAAAGAATTATTTATTTGATTTTATTCACTATTATCATTTTTTTAAAATTTGCTATAGGGCACATGTACTCATGAGAGAGAGAGAGGGAAAGTGAGAAAGCAAGTAATCAGGTTCAGAACACAAACCATGGTTGGCCATGTGGGTGTCCAACACCCTAACCACCATGCTACCTGCTGGCTTCCCAAATTGTTTTTTTGTTTCTGTTTGTTTATTTCTTCCACAACAGAGAGTGAGAGACTGGGAAAGAGAGAGAGAAAGAGACAGGTAACCCCAACAGGGTTTTCACACCGTGGCTGACCTGAAGCCTCAGCCAACCTGAACAGCAGGCACGTGCATGCACAGCTGACATGGGCAAACCTCTGCAGGTGAGCCCAGGACCTTCCCATGTGGTGAGTCCAGCACTGTAGAGCATTGCATTACCACTGCACTAAGAGCTGGTCCTCCCCCAAAATCATCTTTTAAGTCAATCATTCTTGGACACTTTTTGATAGTTTTTAATATTCTGGAGCCTGATTTCCTGAGTTTGAAAACTGAAAATTTGTATGTAACATTGGTCAAGTTACTTAACCTCTTTGATTCTATTGCCTTATTGTAAAATGAGAATAATAATGGTATTACCTCACAGAGTTGATATATAGAAATACTTAGATAAGCACCTGGCATATGGTAAGCTTTCAAAAAATGCTAGCTATTGGGACCAGCAGTTAGCATAATGGCTATGTCGCTGGGCTCCCATGTAGTCGACCCCAGTTCGAGTCCTGGACCTGGCGGCTTAAACTCACGCCAGGTGCGTGTGCATGTGTGCCCAAGATCCCAAGAGGAGAATGGAGGAGAAGGGATTGCGGTGTGGCCATCTCCCCTGGTGGGGGTGATTTCTCGCTTTCTATATCTCTGTCTCTCTCTGTCTTTCTGGTGAGTGCACACACCCTGTAGCAAAAACCTCTACCAAAAAAAAAAAAAAATGCTAGCTATCAACACTGCTAATTTAATTAAATTATTAAAATAGAATTTTATTTATCAACAAGTTAACTACATAAAAATCCTAATTATGATTCACACTTATAGAATGTGCTCTAGTCAACAAATAGAGAATCAAAGTATTATATCACTAAAGTTATAAGATGATTACATGTTCTTATGGGTAATAATCTATATATTATATATAATATATATTATCAATATTATTAGTCAAAGTTTAATATTATGACTCAATATATATTTTGGGAGCTAGCCCCATAGCACAGAGGTTAAGCTCTGTGTGTAGCTGGATCCCACATAGACTACCACAGTTTGCATCCTGGACGAGAAGGTTTGAAAAACATGCCAGATGGGGACCAGCAGATGGCATAATGGTTACGTCGCTGGACCCCTATGTCGTGGACTGTGGTTTGAGTCCCAAACCCAGTGGCTTAAAATTCACACCAGGCATATGTATGTGCATGCCCAAAATCCCAAGAGGAGAATGAAGGAAAAGGGATTGTAAAGTGTCCATCTCCCCTGGGCAGCGATTTCTCACTTTCTGTCTCTCTGTCTCTCCTGTAAGTACACATGTCCTATAGCAAAAATCTCTCTACATAAAAAAAAAATAAAAGAAAGAGAGAAAGAAAAGAAAAGAAAGACATGCCAGGTATATGTATGTGAGTCCCCAAATCCTAATGGGATGCAGAAATGGAGGTGTGGACACACCTCAATGAGGGCTTCTTTCTCAGGACCAGCAGATGGCATAACGGTTACTTTGCTGGACTCCCATGTAGTTGATTGCAGTTAGAGTCCCAGACCTAGCTTAAAACTCATGCCGGTGCATGTGCATGCGTGCCCAAAATCCCAAGAGGAGAATGGAGAAAGGATTGTAGGGGATGATTTCTTGCTTCCTGACTCTGTCTCTCCATCAAGTGTACATTTCCTATAGCAAAAATCTCTCTGAAAGGGGAGGGGAGTTCTTTCTCGCTCTCGGGCAAACACATGCACCTTCTGCAACATATCTATGTACATCTCTTGTAATTGACTATATTATTTAAATTTTCATTAAAAAGAGACATACTAAAAAATCCTTCATAATAATATTACATTTCTATCCTATTTGCTATTTGGATGAACTGATGTATCAAGGCTCACTAACTGTGCAAACTTAGACCATTTGAAGATCCAAGAGACAGCATACGTGAATTCATATCTCCTGACTACATTCTGATATCCCAGACTTCTTGTTATGTCATCTATTGCTTTTTCCCCCAAAAAAAGTATTTCATTTATCTTTATTTATTTATTTTTACTTTTATTTGACCAGAGAGGGACAGAATGAGAGAGAAAGAGGGAAAGTGAGAAAGTAAGCTGCCAGGTCTGAGACTCGAACTACAATCGGACATGTGGGACTCCAGTGCCTTAACCATCACACCACCTGCCAACCATGGCTATTGCTTTTTGGCTTTCCCCATTGAACCTGTAGTCCTGGGCTTCAATATGAGGCCCTATTCTCTTCCCAGACTCCTTCTAAGAGACATCTGACTTTGCTTCATTCTTGTGATTTTCCTCATCTACCTTGGCATTTTGGGCCTTAATGCCTCCATGGATGGACTTTCTTAATTCAATTCAAATACAAAAAAGTTTAAAATTTCTTAACAAGTATAAGCAACTTCCTGGAAACCTCTTAATTTTTTAGTAAAAAGCACTCATTAGATCTTTGCTGCCCTCTTCTGGTCACAGTTCGTGGCTCTTAACCACTTCAAGCCCAGTGGTATCAAGAGCTAGGACAAAGTTTATCTTCTAAGCCCCAAAGTGTATAGGCTAAAATTACGAAAGTATAATTAAATCATTTATAAGTTCCTATAGTTTTAGTATTATACAAATATCAGTTTAAGTAAAATAAGTTTTTTTTAACTTTTTATGATATGAAAACAATGCTACCTCCCTTAAACTGTCTTAAATGCTGTAATAATACATAGAGGAAAAGTTTCACCTCTTACTTCCCAGAGATTAAAGGCTGAGATAAATAAATGAATAAATAAATAAATATTTCTCATACATTAAGAAAAAGAAAAGTGCTTACCTCTGCAGACGGCCCAAGCATCTTCATCACATTTCTCACCACTTGTTCTCAATTCAAAAAAATTATACTCTTCAAGACTAAGAAGACCATTTCCATCTAAATCAATTACTTCAAATATATCTGATAAAGTTGACCTAAAATTATAAAAATCTAAATGTATTTGCCTCTAAGGTAACAGAAGGTTTCTAGGAGAATAATTTTTCAAAGGAATTAATAACATGGCATTGAGCAATTTTTGTTAACTATAAGATATATCTAAATGCAGTTTTGGTTCAGTCTAGGATCACATGAGGCAAAAAGCTTGTAAAGCCACCAAGATATTTCAACATAGTAGGAATGCAATGAATGAAGTATCAGTTCCTTTCTTCTCTTTTCCTTTTTTAGCTACTTTCTTTTTCCTTTCTAACTGCAGCCAAACTTTACTGTGTACTTCTATGGTGAGGGAAAATATGAGAACTACCTAAGTTTTGGATTTCATATTTGACAGTTATCTAAATCAACACAGCAATTAGCAGGATCTGTTTCTAAAGGCAGTGTTTATTGAGGGAGAAGTTGGTAGATATGTGATTAACACTGACTTGCCAAATGTGTAGGAACCAGAAATAAATGACAATCGTAGACCTGTGAGTGCCTAGCAAGTATGCCTTTTTTTTTTCTTTATATTTATGGTGTACTACATGTTTTTTTGACACATACACTGTTAAATGACTAAATCAGATTAATAAACACACATATTATCCCATATACGTACCTTGTCCTGTGGTGACAACATTTGAAATCTACCCTCTCAACAACTTTCAAGTATATATAATACATCGTTATTAACTACAATCACCAAAATGTACAATAGATCTCCTGAATTTATTCCTCCTGTCTAAATGAAATTTTATATTCTTTATTCAACATCTTCCCAATATCCCAACCACTCGTAGCTCTTGATAACCACCATTCTACTCTGAGTCAATGAGTTTCCTTTTTCAGACTCCCCGTATAAGTGAGATTACGTAGTATTTGTCATTCTGTGCCTGGCTTATTTCACTTAGCATAATGTGCTCCAGGTTCATCCATGTTGTCACAAGAGTTTAGTTATTGAATTAGAATCTGAGGTTTGGGGTGGAAGCTGACCAAATGAAAGGGAGAACGACAAGCTATTAATATATATCCAGTGGATGTTATAGTTCTAAACTTAATAAACAGAACTTACCTAAATTCCTTTGTAAGAAATAATTCCCCTGTTTCATCTCTATACACAAGCTGAGCTTCTTCTGTTATGGGTTTCATTTCTTTCCTCAGCCTACAGCCAGTTGTGGAAGGAATTAACCAGTAAATTCCAGGTCCTAGTTCACCAGTCCATCCAAATACCTTTTCCCAAAATAATTAAACAAAATGATAACCATAGTCTGAATGACTTTTAATCTTTCTTCTAACAAAGAAACTTTCAAAAATTTTAAAACTCAATATTCACCAGTACTATTATAGTTCTGCCCATTTTTTACAGGCTTAAAATTATTATTTTTAAAGAATTATTTTATATATACATTCATTTATTTTAATTTGATGAGAGAGAGAGAGAGAAAGAGAGAGAAAGTCACCAGGTCCAGGGGTGTACAGCTCCTTAACCACCATGCCATCTGCTGGTCCCTTCAAATTATTATTATTATTTTTTGAGACGTTTTTGCTATAGGGCGCATGCGCTCGTCTAACAGAGAGAGACAGACAGAACGTGAGAAATCACCCTCCAGGGGGGATGGCCATGCCGCAATCCCTTCTCCTCCATTCTCCTCTTAGGATCTTGGGCATGCACGCACACGCGCCTGGCATGAGTTTTAAGTCACCGGGTCCAGGGCGCAAACTGTGGTCAACTACATGAGAGTCCAGCAACATAGCCATTACGCTAACTGCTGGTCCCAAATTATTATTATTATTTTTTAGTTTATTTATTATTCATGACAGAGAGTATGTGCATGCACATGAGAGAAAGAGAGAGAAAAAAGCACACTCAGTAGGTTCTTGTCATGCCATGATTCCCTTCCCAAGCTCCTCAGGTTCTTGGGCACACACACATGCACCCATTGTTTTCAAGCTGATCTGGGAATCTGAGTTCTCAGTCGACCATGTAGCATCCAGTATTATAGTTAAATTTGCCACTGAGTGTGGCACCAGGCTGAACACAAATTATTTTTATTAATAGTAACTCCAGTACAAAACCATTAGATGCAGTTCTTTTTATTTTATTTTCAGTTTAGTAGTCTCATGTCACCAAGCTGCCCCATGATGCTGCAGCACCCCATATGTGACTCTGCCTCCCAGGTTCAGCCCCCAGCTGCAGGACCAAAGAAATAGATATAAGTCACAAGAAATATGGTCACTGCCTGAGAGGAGAGCCAGCTGCTACCACCTCCACAGCCCAAAGGCTTAATTCTAGGATATAAGAAAGTCATTTTATGATTTGATGGGAAGAAACTCATAACGAAATAGAAACCCTAAAAAAGAATGAAACAGAATTTCTGGAGATGAACAATACAATACCAGAAATCAAAATCACTCTCAAAGGCATTAACAGCAAATTAGAGCATACAGAAGAAAATTTCTGACCTTCAAGACAAAACCCTTTTTAATCCAAGCCACCAAAAAAAAAAAAAAAAAAAAAAGAAAAAGAAAGAAATAATCATTAAAAATTATGGGAAATTCTGGACACTATTAAGCAACTGAATATCCACATAATAGGTATTCTGGAAGGCAAATAGATGGATAAAGACATATAAAATGTATTTTATTAAAAAAAGTTTTCCAAATCTAGATAAACATATAAACATCTATCTCCAGGAAATACAAAAGACACCAAATAGATTTAACATAAGAAGATTCTCTATAAAGCATATTACAGCCAAACTGGCAAAAGACAAAGACAAAATGTTTTAAATGGCAGGAGAGAAACATCAAGTTATGTACAAAGGATAGCCCATAAGATTAACCTCAGGACTCTCAACAGAAATAACACAGGCCAAAGAAGGAATAAGAACACATTGAAAATTCTAAAAGAAAAACAAGCTTTCAGCCAAGAATAACATACACAGCAAGATTATCCTTCAAATGGGAAGAAGAAATAAAATTACTCTCAGATAAAAAAAAAGTGAAAAAGTTTACCAACACTAGACCAGCTCTTCAAGAAATACTTAAGAGAATACTACATGAGGAACATGAAAGGGAGAAAAATTGAAATAAAAGAACACAAAACAATTAAGAAAATAACCAATAAAATGGCAAGGGAAAATTCTGCACCTATCAATAATAACATTAAATGTTAGTGGATTAAATTCTCCAACTAAAAGACACAGATTGGTTGAATGGATTTAAAAAAAGAAAGCCCTATATACTGCTTACAAGAAACACACCTCATTGATAAAGACATACATAGATCAGAAGTAAAATGCTGGTCAAAGTCATTCATGCAGATAGAAACCAAACAAAAAGACTGGAGTCACAATACTGATATCAGACAAAATAGATACCAAGATAAAAATTGTAAAAAGGGACAAAGGACACTATATATTAAAGGGATTCATTTACAAAGAAGATATAACAAACATAAGTATGCACCCAACATTGGGGCACCCAACATTGGGGCACCCAAATATGTAAAAGAAAGTCTGTTAGATCTAAAGAGCAAGATAGCAGAGCTAGAAGGAGGAAGTAGATACTGCCTGGCCTTAGCTCATCAACAGGTACTCCAGTCCAGGCTGCAGTGAAAGAGAGGGAATGCTACAGCCTTGAAGGACCACTATCTGGTTCCTGCAGTCCCTGACATAGAAGGTAGGAACTGCTGCCTCTTGTGTGGTGACACCATTTTGCCCCTCACCCATCCAGGAACAACAGGGAAGCAGAGGCAACCTGGTCTTAAGCTCAATGAGGATGATTCAACATACACAAAATAATAAGTGTAGTACATCACATTAACAGAAGGAAATATAAAAACCAAATTATTTTAAACAATCATATCAACTGATGCAAAAAATAAAATTCCTTCATGATTAAGACTCATAACAAGTAGGTAGAGAAGGTACATTTCTCAATCCAATAAAAGCCATATATGACAAACCCAAAACTAACACCGTACTGAATGGGGAGAAACTAACTTAAAGCTTTCCTATTAAAAACTGGAACAAGACAAGGTTGTCCACTTTCTCCATTCCTTTTCAACATATTACTGGAAGTTCTGGCCAATACAACCTGACAACAGGGTAAAATAAAACATATTCAAATAGAAAAAGATAAAGTGAAATTGTCCATATTTGCAGAAAACATAATTATATACATAGAAAATCCAAAACAATATACACACACATACACACAAACCTCCTAGAAATGATAAATTCAGTAAAGTGGCAGGATATTAAATCAATGTATAAAAATCTATAGTGCTTTTAGACACCAACAATGAACAGCCTGAGGCAGAATAAAAAAAATCCCATTTACAAAATACACACACATACACACACACAAATACTTACAATACAAAATACTTAGAAATAAACCTAATCAAAGAAATGAATGACCTCTACAAGGACAACTATGAAAAACTGAAAAAATAAAGTGGATAGTCTAACAAAGAAATGGATAGCTATCTCTTGTTCTTGGATTGGAAGAGGCAATATAATTAAAATGTCAGTTCTACCCAAACTGATTTAGAAATTTGATGTAAATTGAATTACCAGTGACGTGCTTCCTAGAAATAGGAAAACCAGTCATAAAATTTGTCAGGAATCATAAAAGACCAAGTATCACAAGTCAATACTGTGCAAAAGAATAAAGTAGAGGCATCTCAGTACCCAACTTCAAAATATACTACAAAACTGTGATAATCAAAATAGCATACTTCTGGTACAAAAGCAGGCATGTACACCAATGGAGAAAAATAGAGAATCCAAAAATAAACCTCAAAACATACAGCAAACTTATTTTTAACAAAGAGCACAAGACAATCCAGTGGAGAAAAGAAAGTTTTTTCAGCTAATGGGGCTGAAAAAAGTGGATATCCATCTGCAGAAAAATAAAAATATACTCCCATCTTTCACCATTAACAAAAATCAACTCAAAATGTCAAAGATCTAAATGTAAAGCCTCAAACTATAAAACTACTTGTGGAAAATACAGGGGAAACACATGAAGAGATTGGAGTAGGCAAAGATTTCCTAAATAAGATCCCCAAAATGCAGGCAACAATTCTAAAAATACACAAGTGGGATTACATTAAGCTAAAAAAAAACTTCTGCACAGCAAAGGAAACAATAAAGAGACAACCCTCAGAATGGGAGGAAATTTGCAAACTACTTCAGATAAAAGATTGATCAACAGAATATACAGAAAACTCAAGCAGTTCTTTCTCATTAAATGAATAAACCAATTTTAACATAGGCAAACAACCTGAACAGACAACTCTTCAAGGAACACATACAAATTGCCAAAAAAAAGAAAAATTGTTCAATATCTCTTTTCATATGGGAAATTAAAATTAAAATGACAATTAGATATCACTTAATACAAGTCAGAATGAGCACAACCAAAAAAAAAAAAGCAAAAAAAAAAACAAAAAAACAAAGAATGATTAAAAGAAAACAAAATAAAACAAAACAAAAACAAAGAATGAAAAGTGCTGACAAGGCTGAAATTAAAAGGGAACCTTCCAGCACTTTTGGTGGGAATGTAAATTAGTACAGCGAATATGGAAAACAAAATGAAAATTCCTCAAAAATTTACAAATAGAATTACCATTTGACCCAGCAATCCGACTCCTTAGTATTTACTCAAAAGACAGGAAAACAGTTAGAAAGACACTTGTAGATTCACGTTTACTGCAGCACTATTCACAACTGCTAAGACTCAGACTCAATTTAAGTGCCCAAAATTAATAAGTGAATTGAAAACATGTGGTACTGGGACCAGCAGTTAGCGTAATGGCTATGTCGCTGGACTCCCATGTAGTCGACCACGGTTTGTGGCCCAGACCCGGTGGCTTCCAACTCATACCAGGCGCGTGTGCGTGCGTGCCCAAGATCCCGAGAGGAGAATGGAAGACAAGGGATTGCAGCGTGGCCATCCCCCCTGGGGGGTGATTTCTTGCTTTCTGTCTTTCTGTCTGTCTCTGTCTGGCGAGCGCACATGCCCTATAGCAAAAACCACTCCAAAAAAAGAAAAAAAAGAAAAAGAAAAGATGTGGCACATATACATTATGGAATAGTACTCAGTCATAAAGAACAGGAACACTTGGGATCGGCAAGTGGTGTGGTGGCTGGGGCACTGGACTCCCACATGGCCGACATTATTTCGAGTCCCGGACCTGGCAGCTTGGCTTCTCACTTTCCCTTTCTCTCTGTGTGTCTCTCTGATCAAGTGAAAAATAGTAATAATAACAAATGGAATTAAATAAATTAATTAAAAAAAAAATAACAGCAAGATTCTGTCATTTGATACAAAGCAGATGAATATAGAAGATTTAATATTAAGTGAAATAAGCCAGACTATGGAAGACAGTGTATATCCTCACTCAATATTTACTGAATATCTGCATTCCATGGCAAAAATTGGAAGATTTGAAGAGTGAATACCGGTAAGGGCAAGAATAATAACAAAGACTGTATGAGAGAGAGGTAGATATGGGGGGTAGGGGACAATTGAGAGTAGCTTAAAAAAAAAAGCACTTAACAGACCCAAGAATGTAAGGTTCTTTGTTGAAAATGATGTATATGATAATATCTTTGATGTGATTATCACACACTGCCTGCATGCTTTGAAAAACCCATCTTGTATGCCATAAAGATGTATGACAATCCAGTGTAAATAAGAAAATACAAATTTTGAAATAAAAAAGGTTATGTATTTATTTCTTCATGAGAAAGATACACACATGTACTCTCAACAAGATCTCATGCTGCAGTTTTCCACTCAGCATTCCTAGTCAGCCAGGATTGCAGGCACACACATAATGCCTTCAGTATGTACAGATTAGTAGGAACCAAACTGGTTTTCCATATGGATCCAGCATTGTAGAATGATACACTATTTCTATACAACCATAGCTGGCCTCCATATATATGCATATATTTTTTTTTTTTTGAGAGAGAGGTTTTTGCTATAGGGCATGTGTGCTCACAGAGAAACAAGAGAGAGACAAAGAAGAACACAAGAAAGCACCCCACAGTGGGGAAGGCCACACCACAATCCCTTCTCCTCCATTCTCCTCTTGAGATCTTGGGCACACAAGCACACGTGCCCAGAGTAAGCCTTAAGCCGCCTGGTCAGGACTCAAACCAGAGTTGACTATGTGGGAGTCCAGCAACATAACCATTATGGCATCTGCTGGTCCCCATATTTTTTAAGCAAATTCCTAAAACTGTAACAGGTAAGAAGTTACATTGCTTTTAAATCTTCCTTAATAATCTTCAAAAATGTTTTTGATGCAGATATCTTCAACAGGAAGCAATGAGATAAATCTTAGGATGTTTTTGTTTAAAATAAACACTGAACTCCTTAAAAAAAAAAGTAATAACATTCCAGGTTGTGGTTTCATATTTGATTCAAACATAAATACATTACTTAGGGGGCTGGCAGGTGGTATGGTGGTTGAGAGCACTGGACTCCCACATGGCCAACCACAGTTTGAGTCCCAGACCTGGTGGCCTTGCTGTCTCACTTTCTGGCTCTTGCCCTCAGTCTCTCACCCTTTACCTCTCTGGTCAAATTTAAATAGGTAAATAAATAAAGTTAAATAAAATAATTCTTTAAAATATAATAAATATGATTTTTAAATCAGATTTCAACAACATAAAATAAAAATTAAATATATTTTAGAAGAGTTAACTGTTTGTATGAATTTACAGTACTGGAATTTGGGACCAACAGATAGCATAATGGTTACGTCACAACTAGACTCCCACTGTAGTCGTCTGCAGTTTGAGGCTCAGACCCAGAGGCTTAAAACTCATGCTGGGCATATATGCATGTGTGCCCAAGATTCCTAGAGAAGAATGGAGGAAAAGGGACTATGGCATGGCAATCCACCATGCGGGGTGATTTCTCACTTCCTGTCTCTCTGGCAAGCACATGCGCCTATAACGAAAATCTCTCTAAAAAGAAAAAAAGAGAAAAGAAAAAGAAAAAGAAAAAAGCACTGGAATTTAACTATTTTTTTAATGTAATACAGACTTATAAAACAAGATGCTGAATCCCATATAAACCTGCCTTGTATAAAATTTTGTTTCCTGTAAATATCAGGACATTTGTACAGGAAAACATTTTATTTTCCTATTTTATAAAAGAGAGCAAATGCTATCTTTCTCTGTACCTCCTAAAAGATTTCTGAGTCCAGAGGTTTCCTATACACACAGAGGGCTGTCTCTGTCAAGTACATTAAATCTAAGCATTTTCTAGCTGAGTCCAATACTAAGCAAACAGCTATTTGACCTTCAGCACATACCAGCCCAAAGGAATCCTTCAGGTATTATGCCCCCAAATTCCCTTCAAACCCCAAGTATATTTTAGGTCATCCTGGAGATTCATATACAAAATAAAGTAGCTCATTTGAATTCTGAGTTCAGGCCTTTTTTGGTCCTGATGAGTCAAAGGAACCATAATCATTCTAAGGTCCTCATATCCTATTTTGATGCAAGAAACAATCCAATATAACTGAGGATTATTTTAAAGATTAAATGTTTACCAATTCAACCTTAGGGGACCATAATCTTTTACACTGGCCAGATGTAGACTGATAGCCAGAAGTTAAAAAGAACAATTCTTACTGCATCCTACTATGTGTTATCTCATGAACTTCCTTTACCTCACATAAGACCTTGAATTGCCATTGTGGATCGCAAATAGAAGGTTTGTCATTGGCATAAAACTCTTCTTAAAGAAAATAATTGTGAAACTAAAAACACAAATAAAAAAATCCTTTATAACTATGACACATTACTGATGAGCAGAAGCCTATACAGTAAAGAGGTAAGCAGAAACTCATTCAAACTTTATTACAACCTTGCTATGTACTAACTTTTTTACACATGCAATCTCATAAGAAAGTCATTTTACCCAAAACAAAATGGGAAAAGCTAGTGGTTTTAGACAATGCTTTATCTTGAACTTAACTTCATAGTCAGTTCTGAAGAAGAATTTAGTCAAAACATTAACTTCTGCCATTTTATTTGTTTCTTGCCTATAACTATTCTTGTCTGTTAGGAAGCCTACAATAAAGACTTTTATATAACATTCCATCAGGGAAATGTTTGTCTGTCGTTGGGCCTATATAAAGATTAAATATGATATTGCAGTAAGCCCTTGAATAGTATTATTTCTGTTGTTGTGTAGCAGATGTATTTTGTAGTCCTCATAAAATAAATAGCCACATTTATGTATCTGCCTCACATATTTGGCCTCTGAGTAAATATATAATTAGAAAAGATCAGAAGAACCCCATGGGCAACATATAAAAACATTTAAAAGCATTTCTTCATATCAATCTATTTTTGAACCCCATAATATAAGTCAAGCCTGAGGATAGTAATCTCAAAGTTTCTGTGTTTTGCAGTAGCAGTATAAGTAAGACAAACATCTAGAGCAACTTTCCAAAGTCTTGAATTGCCTGTATTTGGAAGAGGGGGGGACTGCTATCATCAATATTTTTTATTGAGTATAATGAAAAAAATGTTCACATGTGAAGCATGAGGGCAAAGGAAAGTGAAGCGCAATGTCATACAATTTATAAGCTATGAAGCCAAGACTGCCAATCGATACTCGATTCTTTTTTTTTTCCTTTTTTTTTGGAGAGGTTTTTGCTATAGGGCACGTGCACTAGCCAGACAGAGAGAAACAGAGAGACAGAAAGTGAGAAATCACCCCCTGCAATCCCTTCTCCTCCAATCTCCTCTCGGGATCTTGGGCACACAAGCACATGCATCTGGTGTGAGTTTAAGCTACCGGATCCGGGACTCGAACCATGGTCAGTTACATGGGAGTCCAGTGACATAGCCATTACGCTAAGTGCTGGTCCCGATACTTGATTCTTAATAAATTTCAATGAAGAAAAAGTCCTTCATGATTAGTGCAACATATATAATGTATGTAAGAGTTTAAATACTGTATGTATGTATGGCTTAATTGGGAAAGAGAATATAAAAATTAAAAAATAAAATAAATATAGGCTCAGCTGCATTTGTGCAGACAGAAGCAAACTGATTAGCAGTTCTGGCAGTGACATAGCTGACTGTGGGATCAGGTTCTGCTCAGCCTAAAACACACTGGGCCCAAGATCCTTGCTAGCTCGAGGGCTGGGAGAAGAGGATGGCAGTGTGATGGGACCCTGTCAAAGATGCCTGTCTGTTTTTCCATATGTTCTCTCACATACACTCTCTCATGAAAGAAAGAAACTTTCAATAAAGAGATAGAAGTTATTTTTCCCAAAATTGACTTAATTATATATAGTTAAATATTAGAAAGTAAATATGTATACTTCTCTATTTCGTAGTTCAGTAAAACCCACAAGCTGTAGATTTGCTTGGCTCTCATTTTTTTTAAGAATATATAAGGCAGTGTCAATGGATAACCAAGGAGATGGTTTTCCTATGAACAAACAAATAAATAAAATCACACACCATAAAATAAGCAATCATGGGGACCAGCAGGTGGCATGGTGGTTAAGACACTGGACACTCCCGCATGGCTGAGCTGATCATGGCTAGGGTCCTGGACCTGTGGTGGCTTGCTTTCTCACATTCTCTTTCTCTCTGTGTATCTCTCTCTGGTCAAATTAAAATAAATAAATGAATAAATAGAATTAAAATAAATAATTATTTTAAAAAAGCAATCACTATTTACCCCCCTTTTCTGACACAAGATAAAAATCTTTATGTTATTTATATATATATATATATATATATATATATATATATATGCTATATTTGCTATATTTTTACACAAAAATGAAAAGGCTGTAATCTAGCCTTTAGAAGCAAAGGAAAGTCTTATATTTCTAAATAAAGAAACAACATGAATATTATAAAACATGATGAGAATTATTGATACTTAAACATTCAGGATAAAATATCATCTAGATATATGTTGAAGAAATCAGTATTTTCTATTTAAACAAGAAGGTAGTGATTTATTTTTCCCACTTCAATTTTTTTTTTAGAAACACACATTCTTTTTTTTATTTTGAGAGAGACATTTTTTGCTATAGGATATGTGCACTCACCAGAGAGATTTTTTGCTATAGGACATGTGCACTCAGAAAGACAGAGAGATAGAAAGAAATCACCTCCCGGGGGTGGCCATGCTGCAATCCCTCCTCCTCCATTTTCCTCTCGGGATCTTGGGCATGCACACACACATGCCTGGTGTGAATTTTAAGCATCCAGGTCCAGCACTTGAACTGTGGTTAAGCACATGAGAGTCCAATGCCTTAACCACTACACCACCTGCTGGCCCCCACATCCCATTTTTATATGTAATCATCATAACATTTGTAATAAAGCATATTTCAATGAAGCAACTTGAAATCCAAGGAAAAAATAGACCATTTCAGGGCAACAGGATGTTATGCACTGACTTACCTGTGGTAGAGCACAAGAGTACACAACACCATTATTTACATCTCCAGCTCCTGTGTCTCCTCTGAATGTGAGACCCTACATCCAACTGCCTATTTGAAATTTCCACTTGAATTTACTATTTTGAAACCTTAACTACTGAACTCACCTGACTCCAAAAAACCTTTTCATCTATATTTTCCTTTCTATCAGTTAATGGTAGCTCATTTCTTCCAATTCCTCAAGACAAAAATCCTGAAACTCTGCTCTCATATATCAAAACCAGTCCTCATGGGGCTGACAGGTGGCATGGTGGTTAGGGCCACAGGACTTCCACATGGCCAACCATGGTCTGAGTCCCAGACCTGCAGGCTTGCTTTCTCACTTCCTGTCTCTCTCTGTGTCCCTCTCTGGTCAAATTAAAATAAATAAATATGTAAATAAAGTTAAATAAAATAATTCTTTAAAAAAAGCCAGTCCTCAGGAAATTCTATAGTTCTACCTTCAAAAATATGTCCAGTATCTCTACCATCCCTTTCTTCTGACTATACCCTGACTCAAAGCATCTTCTTGAAAGTCCTCTCCTAGAATTCTGCAATAGCATCCCAGCTGGACATCTTGCCTTTTTTCCTGAGTATCCCTCACTCTGTTTTCAATATAACAACCTGACTGCCCTTATTAAAATATAAATCAGACTATGTCCTGTTTTCTATTCAAAATCCTGTTAGTAGAATAGAGAGAAGAGTATTTTTTCCTACCTTAACAATAACAAAATGTGGATAAACTACAAAAATCATAACTTTTCTTGAACCCATCAAAGCTGAGAGTCACAGGGCAACTAGGTAGCCTAAAATTCAAAGAAAAACAGACCTTTCCAAGAACAGATGGGATGCAGGCATTGGCTTACCTGTGGTGGAGCAAGAGAGGAAGAGATGTCAGGTGCCATACAAGTAGAAGAAGAAAGAGGGTAGATGAAATATCTGAAGAAATATAAGTGAAGAATTTTCTCGAAATGATAAAAAAAAAAAAAAAGCTACAAATCTCCAAACAGGAAAAATAGCAAAAAACAATAGCTTCAACAACAAAAAGAAAACACATAGATACATCCAAAGTGCTGAAAACTCAAAGAGAAAATCTTGACCACAGACATGGGGGAAAAGATCTCTTAAGAAATGAAGGGTGGGACCAGCAGTTAGCGTAATGGCTAGGTCGCTGGACTCCCATGTAGTCGATCACAGTTCAAGTCCCAGACCTGGTGCCTTAAATTCACGCCGGGCATGTGTGTGTGTGTGTGTGTGTGTGTGTGTGTGTGTGTGTGTGTGTGTGAACAAGATCCCGAGAAGAGAATGGAGAAGAAGGGATTGCAGCATGGCCATTGCCCTTGGGGGGTGATTTCTCGCTTTCTGTCTCTCTGTCTCTGTCTGTCTGGTGAGCGCATGTGCAAAAACCTCTCCAAAAAAAAGAAAACGGAAAAAAAAAAAAAAAGAAATGAGGGGTAAAAGCTCAAATTCTCTGAGCAAAAACCAAGTCTTCATTATGGCAAAAACAAAACACAACAACACAATTCGATTTTGTCCTTGTCCATCCCTGTCTTATCTCCTACTATTCTCTTCCTACTCAGAAATTCTAGCCTCCATTCTTCTACTATCAGCACGCTCTCACCTCTGAGCCTCTGCACAATAGTCTATGTGGAATGTCTGCCACCTCCTCCGCCCTTCACACATCCCTTCCATCCCCACTAACCCTACAGAGTTTACTCCCATGCCTTCTGCTGAAGACTCCAAGAATGGCCCTCCCTTTCTGTATCCACAGCCTTTTGCAATGTGACTTCACAGTTCCACATCAAGAGATCAGGCCCATTTCCCCATCCTATGAATCTGTACTTGCCTAGTGACACACTATAGACAACAGAATGTAGCAGAAGTACTCGATGCCAGTTCTGAGCACAGACTTCAGGAGGTCCTATTGTGCTTCTACTTCTTTTTTTATTCAGATCCTTGTTAATGGCATGAGAACAAGTTCATTTACTGGACCCCGTGTGTTACTGGAGAATGGAAGATCATTGGCAGAGTCAAGCTTTCCCAGCTGAGACCCCGTATATAGGAAAGAACTAGCCCAGACCAGAAGAACCCAACCATCAGCTATCTGTAGTTAACCACAACTGCGTGAGCAAGGCTTACAGAGAAAGTCAAGCCTGGATCATACTAAAAGAACAGTCTAGAAGAACTACAGATTCATGAGCAAACAAATGTTTAATTGTTCTAAACCAGTAAGTTTTCGGGGGTAGTTTCTGTTGTATTTGTTTGTTTTCCTATAGGGCGTATGTGCTCACCAGACAGGGGAGGTGAAAAGTCACCCCCACAGAGATGGCAATGCCATAGTTGAAAATTGATATACCTCTTTCTAAGTCTGTTCACATGTCACTTTCTTAATGAAGCATACACTAACAACTCCATTTCAATGGAAACTCAATTCTCTCAGTATTTAAAACCCCCCTTTCCCTCAAAGTTATTCCCTTTAGCACTATTACTTTGTAATATACCATGTCACTTACTATTCATTATGCTTATTGTTTATTGATTTTTCCACTAAACTATAAGTTCATGAGGACAAAGATTTCTGTCTTTGTTGTACTCATATACATCCTAAACACCTGAATTGATGCTTGGTATATAAGGCTCCCAATAAATATTTGATTAATAAAGGAATCTTAATAAGAAGAGAATGAACAATTACACTAAATATTCAGGACTATCTTGACTCTTCACACTAATAACTATTATAATTGTCATTCAAAAGTATCAGTTACAGAGACTGCTCAGGGCATGTCAGCTGGATCCCACATAGCCAAGTGCAAGTTTCCAATCCTAGACACGGTGACTTGGAAAAGAAGCTGGGCTCATATGCATGTGTGCCCAAAATCTAGAGGGGAGAATTGAGGAGAAGGGACTGGCATGGCCGTACCCCCTGTGGGGTGATTTCTCACTTTTCATCCCTTTTTCTCTCCGGTGAGTGCATGCGCCCTTCAGAAAAAAAAAAATATATATATATACAATATCATCTACCAAATGTTTTAAGTATCATAACAATACATGCAGTAAAAACTTTTAAAATTTCTATTTCTAGGAAGGAGAAAAAAATGGGGTGAGAGAAAATTCCCTTACCATGTTCAGTAAGAAAATGTTTATATGAAAACCTTATAAAAGAAAAATAAAGACTAACTTAAAACAACCAGCATGGAAAAGGGTCCAATCTGGTGGCACAGTTGGTAGCAAACTGAATTGTAGTGCTGAAATCCACATGATAGTGGGTTTGGATTCCCTGGGTCAGGCTGAAAACACACCAGGTGCATGAATTCCCAAGATCTTGACAAGTTAGAGGGCCCAGGAAAGGGGATTGGGATATGGTAAGACCTTGTTGAGAGTCCGTCTCTCTCTTGTTTATGAATATACACATGTTCTCTATCATGAATAAATTTTTGAGAGGTTTTTGCTATAGGGCACATGCGTTCACCAGAAAGAGAGAGAGAGAGAGAAAGAGAAAGCAAGAAATCACCCCTCAGGGGGGATGGCCACACTGCAATCCCTTCTCCTCCATTCTCCTCTCAGGATCTTGGGCACACAAGCACAAGAGCCTGGCGTGAGTTTAAGCCACTGGGTCTGGGACTCGAATAGCAGTCGACTACATGGGAGTCCAGCAATGTAGCCATTACACCATTTGCTGGTCCCAAATTTTTAAAAAACTAGAAGAAAAAGATTATCTAGGGAAAGCATCCTATAGATATTTATAGATTAAAAATTATATAACCATTTCAGACACTATAAATTATTATTTTTAAGAAGATTTATATAATTTTATTAATTTTTTTCAATTTTCTATAGGGTACATGTGCTCACCAGAGAGAGAGACAAAGAGAGAGAGGGGGTAACTGAGAAACCAAGCCACTAGGTCCAGGACTTGAGTCATAGTCATCCATGTGGGAGTCCAACGCCTTATCCATCACGCCACCTGCTAGCCCCAGGAAATTATTAATTCTTACCTAGAAAGGAATATTACTATGAATGCAAAAATTATTAAGATTGTCTAAGTTGTAGATACAGGATTTTGAAGGTATTAAAATACTTGCAGTTTTATATTGTCACAAATTATGCTTCTGTAGAACTTTTCTTACACATATTCATTTTTAAATATTGATAAATGAGAAAAGCTAAAATTAACTAGTAAGTAAGTTAATTCTATATTATGAATAAGTCAGATAACATTTATTTATTTTATTTATAATACAGAGTGCACGCATATGAATGAATGAGAGAGAGAGAAGCATTCTCAACTAGGTCTGGTCACAAAGACCAGACTCATTCCCCTCGCTCACCAGGATCTGAGGCACCTGCATGTATCCCTGGCTTGCTTCAGGCTGATCAGTTTAGGGATATAAACCCATGGTTGGGTATGTGGCTTCCATCTCTGTAGTTCAGTATGCACAACAGAGTCTGGGCTGTTTTTGTTGTTTATAAGACATGCTTTAAGCACATGCACAAAGCACCTTGTTTTGCATAATCTGATAATCCAGCCAATCAATAAACTAATACTAACATTCTTGAAAATTAACAGTATGTTTCTCAGATTATTTTTCTCACTATTAATAGGACTATCAAATATGTATGTTCCTCAATTTACAATAGGGTTACATTCCAATAAAATCATCATAAATTGAAAATATCCTATGTCAAAAATGGGTGTTTTGGGGGGCCAGCTGGTGGTGTGGTGGTTAAGGCGGCTAAATCCCCACTTGACTGACTTCATAGTTAAAGTCTTGATGTCCAAAATCCTAAGAGGAGAAGGAACTGTGGTGTGGCCATCTTCTCTGCAAGAGTGGAGGGGTAATTTCTCACTACCTCCCCCTGCTTGGTGAGCACATGTGCCCTTATGGCAAAAAAATAAAAAAGAAAGAAAGAAAGAAAATGAGTATTTTACAGATATAATAGGATGTAAAAATATTAAACATAATATTCCAAAAATGCTGGCAACATAGTTCGGTAAAGCATTGGTTTATCCTCATGATGTGTGGCTGACTCAGAGCTGCAAATGCTGCTGCTTAACATCAGGAGAAGATATCGTATTGCATACCACTATCCCCCCCCAAAAAAACAACATTCAAAATTCTAAGTGCAGTTCCTACTGAAGGGGTGCTGCTTTCATACATTCAGATAAGCAAAACACTGTAAGTTGAACCACTGTAAGTCAGAGACTGTCTGAACTTAAAGTATTTTCAGAGAGGGTACAAATTGATATTTGTAAAATATACAGAAAATTTAAACTTGCCTTCGACTTGACTCAGGTTTAATGGCTTAATTGTTAGATAAACCATGGACCTCTGCACTATTTGCATCCTGTATTGATGGCTAACGATTTCACCATCTTCTTCTAAGAAGAAGCAGCCTTTTGATTGTACACATTGCCAGTCCTGAAATTAAGAAAAAAAAATTTTCAAATGATACTTATTAAATATTTTCAGCAGACATAGTAATGAGAAACCTGTGGAGGATATAAAGAAAAGTCAAATATAGTCAATGCTCTACATAGTTAGAAAATTTTAAAAAAAAAAGAAAAGCATGAAAAAGTTCAATTATAATTGGCAATAATATATGATTAGGACATAAAAAAATTAAATATGCAAAAAAATACTATAATCCCAGATCCTAAAACCATACCTAGCACAGGTTAGGTGTTCAACAAATACTTATTGTCTGATTAATTAGGAGAGTATATAAATTGACTAAGCAATCTAAGAACTACCATAAAGGATCAACAGCACTTAGATAATGAAAAGTTAGGAAAAGACAACATTTAGAGGGAAAATAAGAAAAATAAAAAAGTATTGAAGCAAAATAATAAATACGCCATTATAGTAATCCAAGTGGGATTAGTACTAGCAGCATACTAAAATGAAAGACTGCTAAAACAAATATATTGAAAGAATAAGCAGGTCCAGCATTTGGCATGGTTGTTAGGGTACTGGACCATGTGGATTCAAACCACATGGGTGACTGTGGTTCGAGTCCTGGAACCGGTGGCTTGAAAATCACACAGAGCACCTGTGCATGCATGCCCAAATCCAAAGAGGAGAATGGAAGAGAAGAGATTGTGGTGTGGTCATCCTCCCTGGGAGGTGATTTTTCACTCTTCCTCTCTGTCTCTCTATCTCTCTCCAGCAAGCACACATATTCCATGACAAAAAAATGTGTGAAAAAAAAAAAGAGGGGTCAGGACCAGCAGTTGGCATAATGGCTATGTCGCTGGACTCCCATGTAGTTGACCACAGTTCAAGTCCTGGACCTGGTGGCTTAAACTCACGCCGGGAGCATGTGCATGCATGCCCAAGATCCCAAGAGGAGAATGGAGGAGAAGGGACTGCTGCATTACCACACCCGCTGGAGGGTGATTTCTCGCTTTCTGTCTCTCTGTCTCTCTCTCTTTCTGTGAGCACACACGCCCCATAGCAAAATCCTTTCCAAAAAAAAAAAAAATGAGGGGTCAGCAGGTTGAGGCACTGGACTCCCACATGGCTGACCATAGTCTCAGACCTGGTAAATTCCTTTCTCACTCACTCTCTCTTTCTCTGGTGAGCACACATGCAAACTAAATAATAACAATAAAATAAATATTTTTTTAAGAAAAGAAACAATAAGCAATAGGGCTCTGTATTTAAAGATAAAGTATATGACAGCTGAAATTTTTGTTCCAAGTCAGGTAATTCGAAGAACACTGGGGAATAGCTTCACAGTCTTGAGAAAGAGCTTTCTGTATCTACTTTATCATTTCTTGTTCTAGCTAAATCCCTTCTCCAAGTTCAGGTTAATATGTCCATATGAGATCACATACTTAGAATTAAGTACAACTTGTAATTGATATCTTGGGCAGAAAGTAAAGGATTCTTCATTGATCTTATGAGAAATAGTGCCATTATCATAGTCACATACAAAAACGCTTTTCACTTTATCACTAGCATTGTCTACCTGTAGTATAAGACGTATTTCTGATCTACCCCAAATGACTTCCAAAATTAGAGTATCAATGAGGTTTGAGTGACTTTATAGGAGAAAAATAATGTTTAAATTGTTTGTAAAAATAGATAGTAAGTTGAAGGCACAAAAATATTGATAACTACTGAAAAGGTATATATAAGCTCTGTAACAATAACATCACAAATATTTTAAATCCTTTATAGAAATATTCACTATGGGAACCAGCAGTTGGCGTAATGGCTATGTCACGTAGTGGATCACAGTGCGAGTAACGATCTCAGTGGCTTAAACTCACGCCAGGCACGTGTGCGTGCATGCCCAAGATCCTGAAGGAGAATGGAGCAGAAGGGATTACAGCGTGGTCATTCCCCCTGGGGGGTGACTGACTTCTCGCTTTCTATCTCTCTGCCTCTGTCTTTCTGGTGAGCGCATGCACCCTATAGCAAAAACCTCTCCAAGAAAAAAAAAGAAAAAGAAAAAGAAAGAAATATTCACTATGGCATTGAAAAGGCAAGGCCAGAAATCATTTATATTGAGACTGATTTCTTACTTACTTTTTAAAGACTTACTTATAATACATGAGAGAATTTCAGAAAGTTTATAGAAAAATTGAATTAAAGTAAAGTTCACTTTGGTGCAAAAAATTTTCGAGTCCATTCATAGTTTTTCATAATATGCATTTTCATGAACTTTTTGAAGACCTCCCTCAGATACTTACACATCACTCTTCTACTATGTAAGTCATAATTCTGTTTCTATTTTATATTATTTTCACACATCTAAAGTAAGAAATTTTTTAATGGAAAAAAAACCTCTGGAATTCTATTACCCTATTTTAATTTTTAAATAATCCTTTCTAACACTAACCTTATATAGAAACCTATTTTGCACATTCTAATAAATTATCATTTTTATGTTCTGCTTTTTTTCTTAATATCATATGCAAAATATTTTGCTATTGAAAAATAACAAAGTTGTAAGACTCACTTTCTTACTTCATTTATTATCTCTAATGCTCAAATTTGGGCTTGAGCCAAAAGTTTAAGTTCAACTATCAGTCATGAGTAAGAATATGCAGACTTTCAGGCCAGCAGGTAGCGTGGTAGTTAAGGGTGCTGGGCTCCCACATGACTGACCGCAGTTTGAGTTCTGGACCGGGCAGCTTGCTGTCTCACTTTCTCTCTCTCACTCTGGACCACTCTGGTCAAATTAAAAGAAAGAAAGAAAGAAAGAAAGAAAGAAAGAAAGAAGGAAAGAAAGAGAGAAAAATAAAATAATTCTAAAAAAAAGAATATGCTGACTTTCATTTAGCTTCTCTGTATTTTTGTTTGTTGTTTTTGTTTTTTTGTCTGTTTGTTTTTGAGAGAGAGATTTTTGCTATAGTGTGCATGCGCTTGCTGGAGAGACAGAGAAACAAAAAGTAAGAAATAACCCCCCAGGATTGGCCATGCCACAATCTCTCCTCCTCCATTCTCCTCTTGGGATCTCAGGCACACATGCACATTTGCCCAGCATGAGTTTTAAGTCACCAGGTCCAAGATTCAAACCAGTCGACAATGTGGGAGTCCAGCAATGTAACCATTATGCCATCTACTGGTCCTGCTTCTCTGTAAATCTCTTGTATGGGAACACACAGACTAACAACAGATGCTGATATCATCTCAGAGTCAATTGGCCTTAAAGTAATCAATGTGACCTTGATGGCAATGACTGCTAAAGACAAGAAAAGGAAGATACATTCATACAGTATTTAGACAAGTCATCCTCTAAAACAGTTTGAACCATGATTCTAATATTAAATGGAAGACATTTGAAATGTGTTTTCAATTTATTTTGTTAACAGTATTATTAGAAAAAATTTTGTCTAATATAATTTATGAATATGTTATTTGTATTTACTATTTAGAATGGTAAGGGATATTCATTTAGACTTACAGAATATTTAAGGTAGAAGGAGTCTAAAAAGTAATCTAGTCCAGGGAACCAGCAGGTGGCCTGGTGGTTAAGGTACTGGACACTCTCACATGGCCGACCACAGTTCAAGTCTCAAATCTTGTGGCTTGCTTGCTCTCTCTCTCTCTCTCTCTCTCTCTCTCTCTTTTTTAAAAATAAATGAATGAATAAATAAAATTAAATAAATAATTCTTTTTAAAAAAAGGAATCTAATCCAGACTTCTCTTGATTGATGAGAAAAGTCTGATAACTAAAATGATATGCACAATGTCACACTTCTCATTGACTGCAGAACCAAAACTGGAACCTAGGTACCCATACTTTCTCTCTAGTCTACCAGTTATATTCTAAGTTCTGATGTATTTCATATTTAAATACCTGCTATAATTTTTTAAAGTCAATTTTTAAAAGAAACTTCATATTTATGATATTATTATAATAAAGTATGATAGGGCAGCATGGTTGTTAAGCACTGCACAGAGGAAGCTTGATCCCTCTTGGCCAATCAAAGTTTGAGTCCTGACACAAGCATCTTGAAAACCACTTCGATTATGTGTGAACACAAGCTCAGGATTCTGATGGGATGGAGAATTGTAAGAAAAAGAACTGTTGCTTGATCTGGTCCTGTTGGAGGGTACTCTCTTTTGTTTGTTCTCTCTTCCCCCACTCCCATCATATATGAATATGTGCCCCCGGCATAAATATATAAATAAATAATGAGGCATGACAAAGCATTATCATTCTGAATCATCCACATGTTTAGGTGCTAAAAAAATGTAGATTGTTAGTAACTGCAGATTTCTTTCTTTCCTTTTTTTGAGAGATTTTTGCCTTTAGGGTGCATGCACTCGGCAGGAGGAGAGAGAGAGACAGTGACAGGGAAAGTGAGAAATCACTTTCTAGGGGGTATGGCCACACCACTATCTCTTCTCCTCCATTCTCCTCCCAGGATCTTGGGCACACATGCATATGCGCCTGGAGTGAATTTCAAGCCAGTGGGTCCAGTACTTGAACCACGTTCAGCCATGTCTAGCAACATAACCATTATGCCATCTGCTGGTCCCTTTATTACATTTTTTTTTAGTAACTGCAGTATTTTTGTATGTCTTTATTTTTTAAATTTTATTATATTTTTTATATTACATTTAATCATATTTATCTTTACAGTGTATAACATTTCTTTTTCCAGCACGATTACCATGCATATCAGCCAAGATAAAGACATTACTATCCACATGATCAAATAGCTTTTCATTTTTTCAGATTATGATTATTATTTTTTATTCTCATATTTTTTAAACATTCAATCATCATACATCATTTGAGTAACTGCAGATTTTTTTATGTCTATATTATAATTAAGGTGTAGGAGCCTGTGTAGATAAAAAAAAAATTAAATAAAATCGTAAAAAAATAATGCACTCTGCCTGGTATACCGCTAATGAATATAATTTGTGCCATTAGAAAACTCAAAGACAGGAAAATT